ACACACACACAAACACAAACACACACAAACACACACAAACACACACAACACAAACACACAAACACACACAAACACACACAACACACACAACACACACAACACACACAACACACACACACAACAAACACACACAAACACACAAACACACAACACAACACAAACACAAACACACACAAAACACACACACACACAAACAAACACAAACACACAAACACAAACAACACACAAACACAAACACACAAACACAAACACACAAACACACAAACACACAAACACACACAAACACACACAAAACACACACAACACAACACACACAAACACAAACACACACACACACACACAAACACACACAAACACACACAACACAAACACACACAAACACACACAAACACACACAAACACAACACAATGAGAGTTCAGTGTAAACTCAGAGTAAAAGTTCTTTCATTCCACTAGTTTGATTTTTTGGATTAAAGCTCAGTGTGTGACACAGGAGCTTTAAAAACACAGAGGAGACTCACTTGTTCGGGATGTGAATGAAAATCTCCCTGATCCACTGCTCCAGAGTGTCCAGGGACTCTGCAACAAACAAGTCTGAGTTTAGACCTGGTTCAGTCCTGGTCTAGTCCTGGTCTAGTCCTGGTCTAGTCCTGGTCTAGTCCTGGTTTAGTCCTGGTCTGGTCCTGGTCTAGTCCTGGTTTAGTCCTGGTCTGGTCCTGGTCTGGTCCTGGTCTAGTCCTGGTCTGGTCCTGGTCCTGGTCTGGTCCTGGTCCTGGTCCTGGTCTGACCTGTGGACTGGACGGTGAGGGTCATGTACTGTGCAGTGTAGTAGCGTCTCCAGAACTGTCGGAGGCGCTCATGAGTGTTGATGCCTTTTTCTCTGGGCTCCTGCTTCAGAGTCTGAGCGTTTCCTGGACACAAAGAAAAGTCCTGGTTCAGTCCTGGTTCAGTCCTGGTTCAGTCCTGGTTCAGTCCTGGTCTAGTCCTGGTCTAGTCCTGGTCCGGTTCTTACCCCAGAGGAACTTGCCCATGGGGTGTCCGGTTCTGGCGATGGTTCCGATCAGAGCGTCTCTGCGCTCGGCGTCCGACGGCCGCGACACCTGGAACTCTGCACACACCGTTTCCATGACGATGAAACATTTACAACAAAACATGTGAACAACAAAACCCCGAGTCACTGACAAGACTCTGACACGACTCGGACACAACTCGACGCGACTTGACGCGACTCGACGCGACTCGGACGCGACTCGGATGCGACTCGGACGCGACTCGGACGCGACTCTGACGTGACTCGACGCGACTCGGACGCGACTCAGACATGAGCCTTAAACCCCCGAGTCTCTGACACGACTCGGACACAACTCGACGCGACTCGGACACAACTCGACGCGACTCGGACACGACTCCGACACGACTCCGACACGACTGGGACGCGACTCTGATGCGATTCAGACACGACTCGGACACGACTGGGACACGACTGGGACGCGACTCTGATGCGATTCAGACGCGACTCGGACACGACTCGGACGCAACTTGGACACGATTCTGACACGATTTGCACATGACTCGGACACGACTCGGACACGACCCCGACAAGAGCCTTAGACCCCGGTGGCTGTGGTGCTGTTGTGCCTCTGAGCAGGACACTTCTCTATGTGTGAACAGTGGTGTGGTGCTGTTGTGCCTCTGAGCAGGACACTTCTCTATGTGTGAACAGTGGTGTGGTGCTGTTGTGCCTCTGAGCAGGACACTTCTCTATGTGTGATGTAAAAACACTGACCACTGTCCACGACCTCCACCTCTCGCTCCATCACCTCCTCCACCATCAGAGGACACACGAAGAACTGAGCCCATCTGCACACAACACACACTTTACTCCTGCTCCTGGTCCTGGTCCTGGTCTGGTCCTGGTCTGGTCCTGGTCCTGGTCCTGGTCCTGGTCTGGTCCTGGTCCTGGTCTGGTCCTGGTCCTGGTCCTGGTCTGGTCCTGGTCTGGTCTGGTCCTGGTCCTGGTCCTGGTCCTGGTCTAGTCCTGGTCCTGGTCCTGGTCCAGTCCTGGTCTGGTCCTGGTCTGGTCCTGGTCCTGGTCCTGGTCCTGGTCCCTGGTCCTGGTCTAGTCCTGGTCTGGTCCTGGTCCTGGTCCTGGTCCTGGTCCTGGTCCTGGTCTGGTCTGGTCCTGGTCCTGGTCTGGTCCTGGTCTGGTCCTGGTCCTGGTCCTGGTCTGAGTCCTGGTCCTGGTCCTGGTCCAGTCCTGGTCTGGTCCTGGTCCGGTCCTGGTCTGGTCCAGTCCTGGTCCTGGTCTGGTCCTGGTCTGGTCTAGTCCTGGTCTGGTCTGGTCTGGTCCTCCTGGTCCTGGTCTGGTCCTGGTCTGGTCTGGTCCGGTCCTGGTCCTGGTCCTGGTCCAGTCCTGGTCATGGTCTGGTCTGGTCTGTCCTGTCTGGTCTGGTCCTGGTCTAGTCCTGGTCCTGGTCTGGTCTGGTCTGGTCCTGGTCTGGTCCTGGTCCTGGTCTGGTCCTGGGTCCTGGTCCAGTCCTGGTCTAGTCCTGGTCTGGTCCTGGTCTGGTCCTGGTCTGGTCCTGGCCTGGTCCTGGTCTGGTCCTGGTCTGGTCCTGGTTCCAGTCCGGTCCCTGGTCCTGGTCCTGGTCCTGGTCCTGGTCCTGGTCCTGGTCCTGGTCCTGGTCCTGGTCCTGGTCTGGTCCTGGTCCTGGTCTAGTCCTGGTCTGGTCTGGTCCTGGTCCGGTCCAGTCCTGGTCCTGGTCCTGGTCTGGTCTGGTCCAGTCCTGGTCTGGTCCTGGTCTGGTCTGGTCTGGTCTGGTCTGGTCTGGTCCTGGTCTGGTCCTGGTCTGGTCCTGGTCCTGGTCCAGTGGTCTGGTCCTGGTCTGGTCCTGGTCTGGTCCTGGTCCTGGTCTGGTCCTGGTCTGGTCTGGTCCAGTCCTGGTCCAGTCCTGGTCTGGTCCTGGTCTGGTCTGGTCCAGTCCTGGTCTGGTCCTGGTCCAGTACCGGTCCTGGTCCTGGTCCTGGTCCTGGTCTGGTCCTGGTCCAGTCCTGGTCTGGTCCTGGTCTGGTCTGGTCCAGTCCTGGTCCTGGTCCTGGTCTGGTCTGGTCCAGTCCTGGTCTGGTCCTGGTCCAGTCCTGGTCTGGTCCTGGTCCAGTACCGGTCCAGAGTGTCCCTGAAGACGTCCCTGTGGATGTGGAAGTGGAAGACGGTGCGTTCACAGTCGGTGAAGGCGTTGGAATCTCCTCCGTGTTCCTTCAGGAAACAATCGAAACTGTTTTCCTCCGGGAAACGTTCACTGCCCATGAACACCACTGAAAATATACACAAAATATATAAATATACAAAAATATACACACAAAATATATAAATATACACACAAAATATATAAATATACAAAAATATACACACAAAATATATAAATATACAAATATATACACACAAAATATATAAATATACACACAAATATACACACAAAATATAAATATACAAAAATATACACATAAAATATATAAATATACAAAAATATACACACAAAATATATAAATATACACACAAAATATATATATACAAAAATATACACACAAAATATATAAATATACAAAAATATTCACACAAAATATATAAATATACAAATATATACACACAAAATATATAAATATACACACAAATATACACACAAAATATAAATATACAAAAATATACACAAAATATATAAATATACAAAAATATACACACAAAATATATAAAATATACACACAAATATATATATACAAAAATATACACAAAATATATAAATATACAAAAATATACACACAAAAATATAATATACAAAATATACACACAAAATATATAATATACAAAAATACACACAAAATATATAAATATACACACAAAATATATACAATACACACACAAAAATATACAAATATACAAAAATATACACAAAATATATAAATATACTCATGTCTCTATGAGCCTGTGGGTGTGACCTCCGGGTGATTGACAGGTGTGTTTAGCCAATCCCAGCGCAGTGTGAGTGTGACTCACTGTGCTCCAGGAAGTGGGCCAATCCTGGGAGGTCATCAGGGTCACTGAAGCTCCCCACGGCCACACACAGGCCCGCAGCCGCCTGGACACAAGACCAGGGTCAGACCGAGGTCAGACCAGGGTCAGACCAAGGTCAGACCAGGGTTTAGACCAGGGTCAGACCAAGGTCAGACCAGGGTTAGACCAGGGTCAGACCAGGGTCAGACCAAGGTCAGACCAGGGTCAGACCAAGGTCAGACCAGGGTTTAGACCAGGGTTTAGACCAGGGTCAGACCAAGGTCAGACCAGGGTTTAGACCAGGGTCAGACCAGGGTCAGACCAAGGTCAGACCAGGGTTTAGACCAGGGTTTAGACCTGGTCTAGACCAGGTTTAGACTGTGTTTAGACCAGATTTAGATCATTTTAGTCCTGGTTCAGTTCCAGTTTCACTTTAAAGCACAGATCTGGTTTTGGGTCATGTCAGAATTACCCAGATGCCCTCCCTGCTCTGGTCGTTAGTCCGGATGCCCTCCCTGCTCTGGTCGTTAGTCCGGATGCCCTCCCTGCTCTGGTCGTTAGTCCGGATGCCCTCCCTGCTCTGGTCGTTAGTCCGGATGCCCTCCCTGGACTCACCGTGGGCTCCGGGTCATCGGAGGAGCTCAGGTCGGACTCGGTTCTGTCCCTGAAGCTCCTGATGCGGCTCCACATCTGGACTAAGACTCTCCTGAGCCTGTCCCAGCACCAGCCGTGTCCCGCAAAACCCTGTCAACACCTGCACCTGTCACCACCTGTCAGCACCTGCCAGCACCTGTCCAGCACCTGTCAGCACCTGTCAGCACCTGTCAGCACCTGTCAGCACCTGTCAGCACCTGTCAGCACCTGTCAGCACCTGTCAGCACCTGTCACTACTGTCAAATTTCAAACACAATTTTGATTCTAAAGAACAGACTCGATACTGAACTCGTAAAACTTTATTTTCTATTCCCCTGGTTTAGTCCTGGTTTAGTTCTGGTTTAGTCCTGATTCAGTCCTGATTTAGTTTTGGTTTAGTCCTGGTCTAGACCTGGTTTAGTCCTGATTTAGTTTTGGTTTAGTCCTGGTCTAGACCTGGTTTAGTCCTGGTTTAGTCCTGGTTCAGTCCTGGTTTAGTCCTTGTTTAGTCCTGGTTTAGTTCTGGTTCAGTTCTTGTTTAGTCCTGGTTCAGTTCTTGTTTAGTCCTGGTTCAGTTCTTGTTTAGTCCTGGTTCAGTTCTGGTTTATTTCTGAAATGAGAATTGTCATGTGGGAGCGTGGGGGCCGTAGGCTTGTGGGCGGAGCCTCGTACAGACTAAGGATGGTTTGGAGAGATCTCTAGATGACCCAGACACGCACAGATGAGTCTAGAGCCTCTTGGAGAGATCTCTAGATGACCCAGACACGCACAGATGAGTCTAGAGCCTCTTGGAGAGATCTCTAGATGACCCAGACACGCACAGATGAGTCTAGAGCCTCTTGTTACGTCATGTGATCTTTTCTTCTTACCTTTTGTCTGACCTCATAAAACTCACCTGTCTGTCCAAGTTCTTCTGTGGCTGTCCATCCTCCTCGCCCTCCCTCTCCCCAGACGCTTCCTCCCACTCCCCAGACGCTTCCTCCGGTCTCCCCCCGGGTCCAGACGAGCTCAAGTTACAGTCAGAGATCAGTAAAACTCTGAGACCGTTCGACAGCTCCAAGTATCTGACGAAGAAACACAAACAGATAAAAACATCCATCTGCAAAAAACCTGCTCGAGTCCTGGTTTAGTCCTGGTTCTTGGTTTAGTCCTGGTTTAGTCCTGGTTTAGTCCTGGTTTAGTCCTGGTTTAGACTTGGTTTAGTCCTGGTTTAGTCCTGGTTTAGACCTGGTTTAGACTTGGTTTAGTCCTGGTTTAGTTCTGGTTTTAGTCTGGTTTAGACTGGTTTACCTGGTTTAGTCTGGTTTAGTCCTGGTCTAGTCCTGGTTAGTCCTGGTTTAGTCCCTGGTTTTAGTCCTGGTTAGTTCCTGGTTTAGTCCTGGTTTAGTCGTTCTGGTTTAGTCCTGGTTTAGTCTGGTTTAGACCTGGTTTAGTCCTGGTTTAGTTGGTTTAGTTCTGGTTTAGTCCTGGTTTAGACCTGGTTTAGACTGGTTTAGTCTGGTTTAGTCCTGGTTTAGTTCCTGGTTTAGTCTGGTTTAGTCCTGGTTTAGTCCTGGTCTAGTCCTGGTTAGTCCTGGTTTAGTCCTGGTTTAGTCCTGGTTTAGTCCTGGTTAGTTTAGTCCTGGTTTAGTCCTGGTTAGTTCTGGTTTAGTCCTGGTTTAGTCCTGGTTTAGACCTGGTTTAGTCCTGGTTTAGTCCTGGTTTAGTCCTGGTTAGTCCTGGTTTAGTTTTTCCTGGTTTAGTCTGGTTTAGTCCTGGTTTTCCTGGTTTAGACCTGGTTTAGTCCTGGTTTAGTCCTGGTTAGTCCTGGTCTAGTCCTGGTTAGTCCTGGTTTAGTCCTGGTTTTAGTTCCTGGTTTAGTCCTGGTTTAGTCCTGGTTTAGGTTTAGTCTGGTTTAGTCTGGTTAGTCCTGGTTTAGTCCTGGTCTAGTCCTGGTTTAATCCTGGTTTAGTCCTGGTCTAGTCCTGGTTTAGTCCTGGTTTAGTCCTGGTTTAGTCCTGGTTTAGTCCTGGTCTAGTCCTGGTTTAATCCTGGTCTAGTCCTGGTCTAGTTCTGGTTTAGTCCTGGTTTAGTTCTGGTTTAGTCCTTGTTTAGTCCTGGTCTAGTCCTGGTTTAGACCTGGTTTAGTCCTGGTTTAGTTCTGGTTTAGTTCTGGTTTAGTCCTGGTTTAGTCCTGGTTCAGTCCTGGTTTAGTCCTGGTTTAGTCCTGGTTTAGTCCTGGTTCAGTCCTGGTTTAGTCCTGGTTTAGTCCTGGTTCAGTCCTGGTTTTCCTGGTTAGTCCTGGTTTAGTCCTGGTTCAGTCCTGGTTTAGTCTGGTTTAGTCCTGGTTTAGTCCTGGTTTCAGTCCTGGTTTAGTCCTGGTTTAGTCCTGGTTTAGTCCTGGTTTGGCTTTAGGTTTATTTCTGTTTTTCTTTTGTGTTGTGGAATTATTTTTGTCTCATGAATCTTCACAAACACAGAGTTTGATCCACAAATCCAAATTTTAAATGTGTCACTTGGATTTTGTTTTTTACAAATAGATCAGGATTTGTAAATATTTCTTGTTTTCATTTGCAAAAAATAAAATTCAGTTTGTAAAATGTGATTTTTATTTGTGGATCAACAGTTTCACAGTTTCACATATTTCCTCTGTGTTTTTTATTTTTTATTTTGAGTCTTTGTTTTGGAGCCGTGCACAGACACAGAGGATCCAGTAGAGGCGCTGTGCTTCAGTTCAGTTTGTGACTGTGTGAGGTTTGATTAAACATGTGAACATCAAACTACGACGGAGTAAAAAGATCAGATAAAAAAAACAAAAACATGCTGATGCTACGAGAATAAAGTCGTAACATTTCAACATTAAAGTTTTAATTTTAGGAGAATAAAGTCGTAATAAAATCAAAGTCAAAGTGAAAAATGCGGCAGAAGAAGAACCTTGTTTTTCAAAATAAAACCAAAAATAAGAAAATGAACAACAATTTTCTTCATTATTTGTGATTCTGGACTGAACCAGGACTAAACCAGAACTAAACCAGGACTAAACCAGGACTAAACCAGGACTAAACCAGGACTAAACCAGGACTAAACCAGGACTGAACCAGGACTAAACCAGGACTGAACCAGGACTGAACCAGGACTGAACCAGGACTAAACCAGGACTGAACCAGGAACTAAACCAGGACTAAACCAGGACTGAACCAGGACTGAACCAGGACTAAACCAGGACTGAACCAGGACTGAACCAGGACTAAACCAGGACTGAACCAGGACTAATCGAGGTCCGAGACCAGACTGGGACTGAGACCAGGACTTAGACAAGGACTGAGTCAGGGACCAAGACTATATTCTCGTAATATTACGATTTTATTTTAACTTCGACTTTATTCTCCTAAAATTAAAACTTTAATGTTGAAATGTTACGACTTTATTCTCGTAGCATCAGCATGTTTTTGTTTTTTTTATCTGATCTTTTTACTCCGTCGTAGTTTGATGTTCACATGTTTAATCAAACCTCACACAGTCACAAACTGAACTGAAGCACAGCGCCTCTACTGGATCCTCTGTGTCTGTGCACGGCTCCAAAACAAAGACTCAAAATAAAAAATAAAAAACACAGAGGAAATATGTGAAACTGTGAAACTGTTGATCCACAAATAAAAATCACATTTTACAAACTGAATTTTCAGTTTTACAAATGTATTTATTATTATTATTATTATTATTATTATTATTATTTATTTTTGCAAATGTAGAAAGAAATATTTACAAATCCACATCTATTTGTAAAAAACACAAGTGCAATAAAAAATACAAGTTACACATTTTAAATTTGGTTTTGTGGATCAAAACACACGAAAAAACCAACGATCAAACTCTGTGTGTTTGTGAAGATTCATCAGACAAAAACTGAATATTAATGAGATAAAAAAAAAACTGAATATTAATGAGATAAAAGTGAATATTAATTAGATTTTAAAAAAAAAGTGAATATTAATGAGATTTTTAAAAAAGTGAATATTAATGAGGTAAAAGTTTCTCCACATGGGGTCGCTCTTGTTGTTCGATTTGTCTCTGAGGGACTGACCTGTATGTCTTTGGGTCGTTGGGGGACTTGAGGATGTCTGGATCTCCCTGGTCCTGGCCCGGTCCCTGGTCCTGGTCCTGGTCCTGGTCCGGTCCCGGGTGTGTGTGTTGAGCAGGGGGAGGCGTCTGGGGAGAGGGAGAGTCTCGGTGGGGCTCCTGGCTCTGGTGCATGTTCCACACTGAGGCAGAGGGATTATCCTGATGAGATTAGAGTCCAGAAGAAGAAGAAGAAGAAGGACACGCCTCTTTAGACCCGGGAAACACGTTTAAAGTGACCAGAGTTTCAAAATCAAAAACCGAGATCAACGTTTGGAAATAATAAAACGAAACTAAATTAAGCAAAACTGTTCTGCAGAACGACGGAGTAAAAAGGTCAGATAAAAAAAAAAAAACATGCTGATGCTACGAGAATAAAGTCGTAACATTTCAGCATTAAAGTCGTAATTTTAGGAGAATAAAGTCGTAATAAAATCAAAGTCAAAGTGAAAAATGCGGCAGAAGAAGAACCTTGTTTTTCAAAATAAAACCAAAAATAAGAAAAACCAACAACAATTTTCTTCATTATTTGCTCCTCCGGACTGAACCAGGACTAAACCAGGACTAAACCATGACTAAACGAGGTCCAAGACCAGATCAGGACTGAGACCAGGACTTAGACAAGGACTGAGTCAGGGACCAAGACTGAGACCGGGATTGAGACCAGGAACAGGACCAGGACTGAAAACGGCTCAGTCCTGGTTTAGACCTGGTTTAGTCCTGGTTTAGACCTGGTTTAGTCCTGGTTTACACCTGGTTTTAGTCCTGGTTTAGTCCTGGTTTAGTCCTGGTTTAGACCTGGTTTAGACCTGGTTTAGACCTGGTTTAGACCTGGTTTAGATCTAGTTTAGATCTAGGGGGGGATTTAGCCCAAACTGTGAAAACAGGAAAGTATTGCCGTGTAATCCAGTTATTTCAATAAAGTAACTGTAATCCAATTACCACTCACTGAAACAGTAACTGTAACTGAATACAGTTCCTCATCATTTGTACTCTGATTACTCTGGTACATGTAATCCGTTACTCCCGACACTACCGTCACTTGAGCGGCACAAACCTGAACGCTGCGGCCGAAAAACCTGCTCTAAAGTCCGGGAGACGAGCGTGTGAGCCCCGGGGCAGGCTGCGGGTGTCGGTGCGGGTGTCGGTGCGGGTCTCGGTGTGGGTTTGGCCGGATAAAGCGTCTCTTTTCGGGGTTTAATCGTGAAAAATCTTCGCGGT